CTTCAAGACAGCGAGCAGTGTGCCACGAGATTTACCCTCACTTGACCAGAGGGGAAAATCGCCCTAGAGATGTATTTAGGCTTCCCTTTTACGTACGAGTTTGAATGTACTATAATCATCTTTTCCTCCGCACTGTTTGAACTTTACACGCATGTGATTAAATCAGAACCGTTGTAAGGTATTAGGGGGCGAAATGGGATCTAGCTATTCCATAGCACAAAGAATCTGAAATTGGGAGGAGTAATAGGGACCGACATTGTTTACATTTGGTGCACGAGGCGATTTAAGGGGATTAAGCCTACGAGGGCCTACAGGGCCCTGCATGTCGTCAAAATTCGGAGATTTGGTGGGGGATATCAAATGAGATCACATTTGACCTTTAATACAGTACGGCGGCGCGCTGAGCAAGGAAGACCGGAAGGGAACTTAATTTAGGTTTGCGGCTTCCCCGAGCTGCTGATGTGATACTTACAGCTATTTTCGGAACTTAGGGCGCGGATCATTTTTTCTCAAAAATAGATGTTTTCACTAATACCTCTCTATCAAGCTCAGTTTTTATCTGATTCTCTCCAAACATGGACCACTCGATTTAGAATGTCATTTTATGATGCTTAGGCCATGGATATCGCCCCCTAGCATGTTTGGGGCTGTTTATTGATGGCAGGTGGTCAATTGGCATAAGTACCCTATAACAAGGAACACATGAAGTCTGAACCCTCCACATTTTGGCACAAACATCTGATACATGATATACAGTGCTTCAAATACTTATTTGAGTCCCTGGGTGGGATGAAAGAGAGATATGGGCCCTGGAAGATGAAGGCATAATTCTGAGAGTCAAACATACTTGAATTCAGACAGACTTATCAAAAACAAAGTTATGGCACACTTTATTATGTATGTGAAATCATCCTCCCGAAGAGTCCCAGTGGCCTGACACTGGTTGAAGCTTTCAAGTTTTTGACTGAAAAAACTGGTGAAAAATGTTTTGAATTTTTACACAAGTTTTTTGCCAAAAATGTAGGTGAAAAACTCAAGAGTTTTTCAGCAGTTTTCCATTTTATTTTGAAAATTTCACCTAAAGTTGATAAACTTTTGAAAATGATTCAACTTTTTCACCTACATTTTTGGCGAAAAACCTCTGTAAAACTCAACATTTTTCCCCAATTTTTTCACTCAAAAACTTGAAATCTTCAACCAGTGTGATGAGATTTGCAGGTTGCAGGGGGGTTTCAGTGGAAAAAGCTGCTGCTTACTGATGTTGTGATTGCAGTCACCATATCAATATCTCAGACATCCTAAGCACTGTAAAATGACATTCCAAATTGATTGGTCCATGTTTGAAGAGCATGAGATAAAAACTGAGCTCGATCGAGAGGTATTAGTGAAAACATCTATTTTTGAGAAAAAATAATCCGCGCCCTAAGTTCCGCAAATAGCTGTAACACATCACAATGTTACCTGCCGATTCAATCTGGACCAAGATCTGGACTGCTTTTGAGGTTCAGAAATATTGTCCACGGAGATCCTCAGTGCTACATACTTAGTGCCTCTCGGATATTTTAGTGATTTTAGGAGGAGATCGGTCATGTTGACAGCAAGCCTGCCGCAATGTCAGTGTGGCAGAATCACTTCTTGGAATATTCAGGGCACGGAAATCATCACAAAAGGTACACTGGTTGAACATTTCAAGCTGTTTGGTGAAAAAATTGGTGAAAAATGTTTGGGGTTTTACAGAAATTTTTCACCAAAAAAGCAGGTGACAAACCCCCTAATAATACCATATATCCATACCAGTTAGAGGGGGAATGGGGGGTGGTTGTCGCCTCTAACTTGAAGCGTTTGAGGCAGCCACCATATGCTGCAGTTCATGCTGCAGATATGCTGCTATATGCTGCAGGCTGCTGCAGCATATTGACTTCGAGGATTTTTCTGCATGTCTTAAGTAATCTCCCAGGCCCAAAAAGGAAACTCACCAAAAAAAAAAAGTTTATTACAGATGTACACATGTCAACTCGCTGTACCCAAGCAGTTCAATGCACAGTATCTAATAAGTCCTCAAGAAGCATCCCACCCTGCCGAGTGCAACCCTGGTGGGCTGCCACGTCAGCCCTTAATGACATTCAGCTTCGACCGGTGGGCAGCCTTCGCCGTGTTTGTGTCTGCCAGAGGAGTGGCAGGTGGGGGCATCAGTGCGTTAGGGAGCGCCTCCTTGTTGCTGATGGGAGGGCTCACAGGAGGCAGTGCGTCAGGGCATGCATCCATGTTGCCAGTGGGAGGGCTCGCAGGAGGCGGTGCATTCGGGTCAGTCGGTGGGGTTGCTGGGCGAGGTGTCAGGGTGTCCGGTCGTGTGTCCTTGTCACTGGTGTGCACTGCTGCCCCCTTCCAAGTGGGCCTCAGGCGCGGCCGCTCAGTGCCTTTAGCCCCAGACACTGTGCTTGTTGAGATGTGTTTGGCGACGTTTTTAGCCCCACTGCTGCTGGAGCCCACTTGCGCCTTCGACCTCTTCACTGGTGGCCTCGAGTCCTCTTCCTCCTCCTCCTGTGCACACACCTTCCGCTTGTTCCCTGCCTTCTTCGTCACCTCCTTCCCCTCATCCCCATTCCCCTCACGTGTTTTCCACTTTTTGCTTGTCTTCTCTGTCACCTCCCTCTCCCCCTCCCCATCCTCTTTGCAGCTCTTGTGCTTCAGCTTCCTTGCCGCCCCTCCTTTGTCATCCTCCACCTTGCACGTTTTTTGCTTCCTGCTCCCTGCATCCCCTATCCTGCGCTGCTGACTCTTCTTCTCCTTCGCTCCAGTCTTCCCACTGATGAGCTCCAGGAGCTTCGAGCACTGTGCTCGGGTGCGTGACAACAGCCGGTGCAATCTCTCCTCCTCCTGCCCCCAGACTCCTCCTCGCCTGTCTCGCAAACCCTCCTTGACCTCAGCCGCATTGTTTGTCCCTCGCCACCCTTGTCATCCGTGTCCTCCTCAGCGGCATGCTTCTTTGACATCGTCTTGGCCCTCGCCTTGTGAGGCTTCTCGGTGGCCTCGCTGTTTTCCACCATGTCCTTGAACTGCGCGACTAGACATGCCTTCTCCCCCTCCTTCAGGACCTTCAAGTGGCACGTGCCAGATTGCAAGGTGTCCCGCAGCATGCACAAAGGGTTGATGGTCGACTGTTTCGACATCCATTTGAATTCCACATCCTTTGGCCAGCCCACGAGCCCGAGGTTCTGTGCCTGGATGATAGACTTGATGTAATTTTCATAGTTCATCGCAATTTTCGTCTTTCCGGCGGCCTGTTCTGTCAGAGCAATATGGGATCAGTAGCCATACGCTGCAGATCGAAATAGGGCTTATGAAGCCCGGTCTTGATCATGTCGGTGCATTGCCACTGCATCTCGAGCAGTGTATCGCCCCCGGTCTTCCCTACCAAATCGAAGTCAGCTCCACCAAAGCCAATAGCGCTACCATGCACCTTTTTCCCGATTCATGGCCCACAACTCAAACAGGGGTATAAAATCTGCCAGATCCCTCTTCAAAATCTTGCGAAAAAAGTCCAGCGTGCCCCATGACTGGATGGACATAGAAATTGAGATGTTGTGGATGTGGCCTCGTGAGAACATTGCAAAGCCAATCATCTCTGCCTGCTTGGCGAGCGAGGTAATCTGTGGGACGTAAAGTCACATTAGCAAGATCTAACAAAGGAGGGAGCCAGCTGAGCATACCTCTGCCATGAGGCACTGCATTGTATGCCGCCCGTCATCAGCGTCCACAGCCAGGTTGTTGGTGCGCACCCCCGGTGCTTCAGGGACTGCTTTGCCATGACCTCGGCGACCATCTCCACCTCTTCCTCTGGTGAGAACCCCTCAAGCAATGATGGGTCGTCCTTGACCATTTTCTTGATGTCGGGGAGGTTATAGCATTCGCCCACAGTGCAGTCAATAAAGCATTCAGTATGTGCTACAGATAAACTGAGAGAAGAAAGGAACTCACCCTCATTCATCTTCACCATCAGGGCCAAGATCTTGGCATTGTATATGCTCACTTTCCGCTCCATTTTGAAGCTCAATGCAGAGAGCATGCAGCGGTGGACCTCTTTCACCTTCATGCTGTACTTCTCTACCAGATTCTGAGCATGCTCTTCGTGCACAGCCTCCCACGCCTCCACATCTCGGGCAAGGTCGCTCATCCTCAAGCCTTTCAATTCCTTTGGTTTGCAGGCAGTAGCACATGTGTTCATGCCGCTCATGGCATTCTTGTGTTTTGGAACAGGAATCACGTCTTGCCTGCAGTTGCAGCTGTGGTGCATCGTAGTTCCAAGACCTTGCAGCTGTTTGTCTTTGGCACCCCTCGCGATCACCACTTTGGGCACCCCCCCCTATAGACCAAGTTAGGATAAATAGGCCCACTGGAATAAAGTACCCAAGAGGGCTCCATCTTGTGGGGTGTGCCCACAGGACCAAAACTTGGGCCTGCCCAGCTGCCTGGTGTTTTCTGGTGCTTGGGTGCCCCCAAGTGCTGTCTTATTTTGTGTGGGTGGCCCCACCTGTTTCCTGGCATTCTGCCTGGGCAGGCCCATGGATGTCACTTGTCACACTGGTGTCTGGGGTCCTTTTCGAGTTTTTCATGGGCCTGCCCATGATGCCTTTTTCAACTGCCATTTGGACCTTTATGGCCCCTTTGGAGCCCTGCACAGCGGCCCAAAAAATTGCTATTAATCTCTTGCTCAGAATAGTTGGCATATGAGAGGAGCATATCTGTGTATGGTTTCCACTTCCAAATCTAGATAATGCCTATCACTGGTTGAAGATTTCAAGTTTTTGAGTGAAAAAAAATTGGTGAAAAATGTTTTGGATTTTACAGAAGTTTTTCGCCAAAAACATAGGTGAAAAACTCAAAAGTTTTTCAGCAGTTTTCCATTTTATTTTGAAAATTTCACCTCAAGCTCAAAAACTTTTGAGTTTTTCACCTGACATGACCTCAAAACCACTGAACTCCGTGGCAAAAAGCAGACATTGCTCAACGGAGAATTGAACTCCGTACCTTCCGAGAACGAAACACCTATGTAGGAAGGAATGCGATATCCACTACGCTACTGAGCCGGTCAACAACAGACACAATGGCTTGACGAAGAATCCATACTCCAGTCGAACATTATATGAAGGACATGGAGCATGTTACCACACCAAGCATGTTCAAGGGTTGAGCGGCTCAAACACCAAAACAACTCCGAGTCCAATGGCTTGACAGAGAATCGAACTCTGAACTGTCTGTTTTGCGATATACAAATGCTGTGAAACAACACAGAGCATGTTACCATTACACCATCAAGCCATACGAATCAATACCCAAAAAGCAGTGATAAAAGAAGGGTTTCCATCAATGGCTTGACGGAGAATCGAACTCCGAACTTTCCGTCAAACAATATGTGAACATTGCATAAGGACACGGAGTGTGTTACCGTTATGCCACCAAGCCGTTAGAGAAATCCATCTATGGAGGCAGCTTCAAGGCATCAAAAGGAATAAGAGAATTGCCCAGTGGAGAATCAAACTCCAAACCCTCCGTGAAAGCATACTGTGAACTACATAGGAATGTGGAGTGCGATACCATTACGCCACTGAGCCATTCAGACGTGATCCTCAATGGACAAAAACGCAAGGCCCGATGGAGATTTGAACTCCAAACCCTCTATTATTCAGTTTCCCACCAGCTACACGAGCAGAGTGTGTTACCGCTATGCCATCGGACCATGGGCACGACTTGGCACAAAAAGGGATGGAACAGAGGAATGGCTTGACGGAGAATTGAACTCCAGGCTTCCTGCAAAAGGGTGCTTGTGCAAGAGCACTAAGGCAGGACACGTTCCAACTATGCCATCAAGCTGTGAACCTACAATCTGGAGGACGGATGGGAACTCCGAATAGATGAAAAAAGGTGGATCGTGCAAGAGAATGGCTTGACAGAGGATCAAACTCTGGGTCTCTCTGGAATGGTCAAACATTGGGGCAAACAACTGTGGGGCATGCTACCACTGCGCTATCAAGCCATTATGGGTGGAATCCAGATCGGAGAAGGTACATCTGGGACTAGGGTGAGTGAGTCCAGACCACGGAGTTGGTGCCTGGTAAAGGGAACAGTGCGGACATAGCCTCCTGGAGTCCGTAGTGAGTCACGAGCGAGTTCATGTGGGAGCGAGCAGGATTTGGGACACAAAGGAGCAACTCCGGCACAGCCTTGGGCTGGGGGTATAAATACTACAGCTTGTCTAGCAAAATATCATCTCAGTTTCGGCCCACATTCTCAGCTTCTAAGCCTTAGCCAGCTTAGGAGTAGCTAAAACCTGCCCAAATATCACCTAGAGGCCACCTGGAGTCGAGTTATACAGTAAATCAACCTCCAGTACTCCCTCGCTGCCATCAGACAGTGAATGGAGTTTCATTTCAGCATAAGATCAACGTCGATTATTGAACCTTCTATTCCTCCCCTACGTTAGTAGGGCAGTGAAATCTCTCAAGCAGCACAATAAGTCTTCGGAGTTTGTGTGTAGCTGCTAGCTAAGGAAGTTGGCAGTGTGGAGCCCACAGGAAGTTGCCTTCAGCAAGCGAACAGGTTGAGAAGTAGAGAGAGGAAACTCTGCAGAGGTACAAAGAGAGGTAAAAGGAGGAGAACTTGCAGGAACAGTACCACAGACACATAACTCTCCCGGTCTTACAATCAACAACCCAAATATACTTCGGACAACTGTGGTTTGAGGTCCAAGAAGCCCCAAAAAACCCATATCTCACCTCGGACTTGACACATTGGACCCTGCATCGCCCTCCGGAGTTCCGCCTCCAAGGAAGTGTAGAACAGATTCAATCTCTGTTAACCTGAGAAGGCTAACTAGGCTTCGGAGTTCGCTCAGTCCACCCTAGCTAGCAGGATATTGAACAAATTGTTCAATCCTTGTATGGATATCCCCACCAATAATATTTAAAACCTCATATGTACTTGTCTACCACGACAGAACAAATTCCCCCTAGAGGACAAGCATTTAAACATAACCCAGATCTCCCCACCATCTGGCAGTTTGAAGCACCGCAGTCCACATCACAACGGTGTCTGGGGCTAAAGGTGCTGAGCGGCCATGCCCGAGGCCCACTTGGAAGGGGGCAGCAGTGCACACCAGTGACAAGGACACACGACCGGACACCCTGACACCTCACCCAGCAACCCCACCGACTGACCCGAATGCACCACCTCCTGTGAGCCCTCCCACTGGCAACATGGATGCATGCCCTGACATGCTGCCTCCTGCGAGCCCTCCCATCAGCGACAAGGAGGCGCTCCCTAATGCACCGACGCCCCCACCTGCCACTCCTCTGGTGGACACAAACACGGCAAAGGCTGCCCACCGGTCAAAGCCGAATGTCATTAAGGGCTGACAGGCGGCCCGCCGGGGTTGCACTCGGCAGGGCGGGATGCTTCTTGAGGACTTATTCGATACTGTGCATTGAACTGCTTGGGTACAGCGAGTCAATGTGTGTACATCTGCAATAAACAATTTTTTTTTTTGGCGAGTTTCCTTTTTGGGCCTGGGAGATTACTTAAGACACGCAGAAAAATCCTCTAAGTCAATATGCAGTTCTGAATTGGTGATAAAGGTGAAACTCACCTCAATTCCACACGTATATCTAGCAAAGACTGCTCAGCTCCCCCTCACTTGGGCTATTGCTTGTCAGTGTTTGCAATACCTGGGTCAAGACATTCGGCGCAGTGTGTATGCCCGTGGGATTGCGAAGACGATGTTGTATATCTCCCGGATCGGGCGAGTCACTGAAATGACAGGGTATGGTCGGTTCCATCAGTGGGTTCGGCGGCAGGGAGGATGCGACCTGTGAAGGACAAGAAACTCCGAGAGAACCTGCAGATTCTCATGATGAAGGACAGACACGTGACAAAGAACAGACGCAGGAGGAAAGGCACGGATGAATGAAAGTCAAACTCTTCAAGTTCTTGAAGCCTGTGGCACGCGGCTGAGGGGAGGATCTGGAAAGCACTCTAGGAACACGTCATTCCGCGCCCAAACACCGTACAAAGCGAAATTTGCAGTGATCGATGAAAACACCGATGCCCCTGTCAGGTATATGTCAGGGTCGAGTCAAAGGTTTTATTAAATTTAATAAGAGCCTGGGCTTGGATCATGTCGGAGAGGGCTTGGGCTTAGAACTATCCTAAGTCCGACCCTAGGACTCAGGTCGCGGGTCAGGCTCAGGCTTAGGCCGGGGCTTCGTTATATTTTTCTTTCCACTGTGTTGCAGTGAGTCTTTGCATTGAGACACATTGGATGTCGTTGGGCATTTATATATGGTGGGATAAATCTGATTGGTGCGGTGTTTCCAACCCGGATCCCAGGAATTCCCACGTACCCTTTCATCCTTTGTGGACACTCGCTACTCTGGTGATGCAAGCTTTGCCACGACTTTGGGGCTCTAGCAACCTTGCCGGCAGTGGTGCTTATTGAGGTTACTGAGCGATGCCAAATTCAGCATCGATGGACCATGAGGAGACATGGCTTCGCACTGACATTGGCATCAGACTCCCTGGAATTGGCTTTGTGGCTCCTTCGTCTGTCATGCAATTAGAATGAAAGATTACTCTAGATCTGTTGTCTGTCATGCAAGAGGTCGCAGATCGTTGGATCTGGCACACCCATCAAAGGCTAAAAGCACCTCGGCTGCCAAATAAGGAAGAGCTGAGGTGCTTTGATGGGTGTGCCAGATCCAACAGATCCAACGATCTTGCTGACATGCAATTAGAATGGAAGGTCAGTCCGGCATGCCGTCGCAATCCTACTCCGCGTGGAACTGCAGCCCGCACGGCTGTCGACGGCCGAAGATCTTTTCCTTGTCTTTTCCTATGGCGGCCACTCTTTTACGCACAGGTGCCAAAGCAAGCACTAAATAACGTGAGTAACGGATGCGAAATTCACTGTGAACATTGGCTTATTGCATCGCGGCCCAGTCATGGCCATTAGGGCTCTTCCGGACCCACTGCCTAGTGGGCATCAGCTTCCAACAACCCGGAGCCATTCCACACACTGAAGTCTAGATATGTTAAGACGCTGTCCGAGTACTCTTGTAGGACCAGCATCAGGAAAATCTGAAATGCTATAAAGTACAAGCGGACATTATGATGGTCTCTCATGGTCTATCGTGGTCTTTCCATTTCACCCGGCATTTATGATGGGCTATGGGTGTCTATGGTGGACTATATAACTAGTGCCAGGACTCTCATAGTTTATGATTGTTTCTCACGTTGACCCTGGGGATTCTAAAGAAATACTGTTATTTGCATAAGTCCGTGAAAACGCAAAAATTTTGCGCGCCATCACGTGGATGATGTAGGCCGGGGTGATGCGGCTGGAACCAATTTCCTCTTGCTTTCGACCTCGATGTTTTGGGAATGCCTCGGGATCGTATGAGCAAGAAGAGTTAATTTTGAGTGGAGGAGAGACGAAAAATCTCCCTCGCAGCGAGCGCTCTCGGGCCGAAACCCAGAGAAACACAGGCAGCGCAGAAACGCGGTTGACTGAGACAGGGAAATGAAGTGACCTGTGGCCAGAGAGGGAGCAGAGGAGGTTGTTCAAAGCGCATCGTCACCGTGCCAGACCTGTGAGGGCGGTACGACCATCACAGTGGCCATGGTGAGAGGAGGATCCGTGAGGAGGCGACGATTAAGCGCTACAATGACATCGGGTTGTGTGTCAATATATAGCTTGAAGCAGTCCGATGTCCAGCGGCCAAGCCGTTGGATATCCAGGTCAGATAGACCAACCATCCGGGCCCAAGTAGCTGCCCCGCGGCGGAAGCTGTGCCCCGAGAAGCCGGCGGAGGCAATGCCGAGAGAAGTCAGGCAGGCCTTCAGGCAGTCAATAAAAATCTTGCGCGTGAAGGCCCCATGTCCACTGCCGTTCTGCTTTCGGCGGCCCACGAAGAGGGGGTCGTCTGGGAGGCCCGGCTTAGCAAGTCGCGCAACAAGGAAATTGTAGGCGCAGGTGGGGAGATTGGTACGGGCAATGGTGATCCGAACACCGTGACGAAAGGGGTCGGTTTTGGATCCGGGGAGGTCGACGGTGAGGTGATTCTCGTCCTGAATAATAACGTCTCGGCGTTTCAAGTGGAAAGCAGGGTCAAATTCGTCGTAGGTAACCTCCCCGCAGCGGAAGAAACCCGCAAACGAGAGCGTGTAAGCGGTTTTCAGAGTTTCGGCCAACTCCTTCGAGATGCCTTTGGGGAGGACCGGTGCGGAGAGTGCGGCGATGAGCTGGGTAAGAATAGGGTGGGTGATGGGGAGGCGTTCCTTCCTCTCCGCGTCACCATAGAAGCGTCGAATACCGCGGATGACCCAACACTCGGGAATTGAACGGGTCGGCAGGGTAACCAAGGTCGACATGGAACGACTTCAACGCGCTGATGTAACGCTTGATTGACTTCCCGCTCACAGCGGGCGGGAGGGACGCGGCCCAAGCGAGAAGATGGGCCTCCGTGGCAGGGTACGGTGAGAGACCTGCGGAGCCATATTCGCGAGCCACGAAGCGCTCAAATGACTTGCAAGCTGTGTCGTTGACACCTCGAGTAGATCCGGCGAGGCCGTGCCAGAGGAAGAACGCGACGAGCTCCGGCTGGTTGACCCGAGCAGCCCAACCGTAGGGAGGTGGGGGAAGGGAGTGTGCTGTGCGGCGAAGAAGGCAGGGAGCAAAGGCCGAAGACGGTACATGTCAAAACGAGAGAGTGCATCAGCAAGATAATTAGACTTTGAATCGATCCAGACGCAAAGAATAGAAAAATTTGAGGAGAGTGCGAGGAGAAAAATTTCGCGGAGGAGCGATTGTGAAGCAGGCTCACGCAGAGAGCCCCCATTCAGCCCGTCGACCGCCCCAGTGTTATCTACCTGGAGAGTGACACAGGTCCCGGCCCAATCTGGAGTCGCCCAGGTTCGAAGCGCATGGAGCACGGCCCATAGCTCCTTGAAAAGAATGGACTTCCCTCGATGCCGCCGTGGCAC